CTCCATAGCGGGATGGGCTCTGGAGCGAGTGTCCACATCTGGTCCTGTTGTGACCCGACTTCTCTGCGGCCTTCTATTCTGTCCTAAGCAGAGTCCTGTTCTGTTCTCTGATAGGGTCCAGGTTAGGGTGTTCTTCACCCTTGAAGCTCAGTCGAGGGGAGGAGCTCTGCCCGGGGCACCTCTAAGATGCAGGTAGCCTTCACCCACCCAGGTCCCACTGAGCCAAGTGCTCAAACCTGCCGTCCCAGAAAGCAGGAATGAGCCCTGGAGGATGGCTATAAGGAAAAGGCAAGAAGGAATGCAAGGACCTCCAGGTCCAGAATTTGTTGTCTCCTGAGACTCCTTGGTTTTATTATCTTTAGTCACCATTTCTGAATGGCTCCAGTGGGTCAAGGGACCATTCTGGTCACTTTATATATGCCTTCTCCTTTAAGCAGTGAAAGTATTCCCATTTTACAGATGGGTAAACTGAGGCACAGAGAGGTGAAGTCACTTTCCATGGTAATGTAGCTAATGAAGGGCAAAGCTGATATCTGGGGCTGTGTTTTTCAGTCTCCACATCTTACTCTTGAGCGCTTACTCAGGAACATCTCTATGTGTGGTCCCATCTGCCCTACCAGGTCCCGGATACCGTAGGCCTTGGTCTCCCTCCTAGGTAGGCAAATCGCAGGCTTTCCTAACCCATGAGCTGAGACCCCAGCCTTGCTTACGAGCAGCTGGGGTGCCATCAGATATAAATAGCTTCCCTGGAGATGACGGGGCAGGACCTCTAGACTCTTAGGGACTCGGCAGGAGTTTGCTCTTGATAACGCAGGAGATGCTGACTAGCACACAAAGCTTAGGGACTCGAGATTTTTTAAAAAATAATAACCCCACAGCTACACTATCTCTTAACAGTAATGATGATAGTTTTGATAAGATGATGAGGATGGAGCAAAACATCAAAGCAAAAATGAAGCTGAGTGTGAAGACGATGGTAATGAATCCAGGAAGTAGGGAGCTGCACACAGCCCAGAACAGATCCTGAAACAGATACGTGGCCAGAATTCAGAATTCCCGCTCATCCACCCAGGAAGAAGCTGCCGCCTGCACTACCCAGCACGCGGCGGAAGGCGGCGGCTCATTCCTTGCAAACTGAGAGACGCTGGGAGGAGGCAAAGTCCAAGGCTTGCCCCTCATCCAGCCACGTTTCTTCCCAGCATGGGGAGCTGCGAACAGGCTGGGTTGTAGGCTCAGGAGTGGTTGCTGCTGGCGATTGTGTTTCTACTGGACAGTTCTTTGAGTCCAGGGCATTCTCCAAGGAACATGCCTCCAACTGAGCCATGCTTTTCAGAAACACAGCTGTGGAGAGGGCAGGGACTCAAAAAACAGTCTGGACATAGTCCCCGAGGATGTCCCCGAGACAGTGAAGCTGAAACCATGACAGGAGGGAGGACAGAGCACTGGATGAAGAGGCGGTGCTTGTGGGTACCTCTTGATGCGAATACAGGGGTTCCTCCAGAGAGCCCTGCGAGGATGAAGAGGGGTGCAGAGGGAGAGGCGGCAAAGCTGGATGCTGCTATAGGAACCTCAGGGGAACTGAGGGCTGGGTTTGTCCTGGGGCTCTGGGAAGAGGCTGCAGCTGTCAGAGAAGATGTTCGCTTGTCTTCACACGAATGCTGGCAGCCCAGGAAGTTTTGGTATTTGCTTTGCACTGTGCACGTGAACTAGCATCTCCTAAGGCGTCAGGGCATCTGTCGTGACTTTGGAGAATGAGGCGGTAGACCAGTCGTTCTCCTCAAGTGAGATTTTGCCTCCTTCATCCATGCAACAAGTATTTACTACACACCTACTATGTGCCAGGTGCTGTGACAGGCTGCAGAAGTGGTACCAGGAATGGGATAAGTACAGGAGAGGGACCAAGATGGAGTGGAGGGTGACCAACTTGTCTCAGTTTGCCGTGGACCTTCTCAATTTTAGCACTTAAAATTGGGAACTGGGAAATCCTGGGAAGTTCCTTCAGTCTCCACATCCTGGGAACTCCTTCAGTCTCAGGCAAACCAGGAAGATTGGTTGGTCACCCTCCTGGGATGCGTCCTCCTTACTTAGTATTTGCCCCCTACAGCTCTGGGCCCATGGTGAGTTAAGGCCCCTGAGGACAGCTCTGAGCTCTGAGCAGGAAGCAAGAAGATGAGGAAGCAGGCTGGTACCTGCACCCAGAAGCCAGACCTGGTCAGTAGCAGAGGGATGCAGAGTGTGGTGTCTGGAGTCAGACAACCTGGGTTCAAAGCCCAGCTCTTCTCTGGCTTTGTGGGGGACCTTCCTCTTTCAGTTTCTGTCCCCTCAGCTGTGACATGTGGCTGGTCATCTGGACCACTGAGTCTACCGTCAGGAGTGGATGGTCCCTGGTTGAGCAATGGTGTCTGGCGTTCTGAAACCTTGGGTCTCCTGGAAGGAGAACCACTTGGGGCAGCCCTGGGAGCATCAAGTGACCAGAATCGACAAGCCGGGCATGAAGAAGCCCAGGGCTGCCCCGCCCACCTGGACCCAGTACATTCCTTTTTAGGGAGGCCACCCAGTAACTGGAAAGAGAGGTGACTCTGTTCTTGAGGATCAGGGGGAGCATGAGGAAATTTTTCCTCTTTTCCTGGAGACAAGTCACAGGTGTGAAAGATGAACTGAAATTCTATCCAGAGCAGGTGAGATCTGGGGCCCCACTTCTCAGCTCCTAACACCCTCCACCCACACACCTGCTCCCCCGAATGCCCTTGCCTTGATAATCCCCCTCCCTGTAACTCGGATGTCTCTGGCCAGGCCTGGGCTGGGGTGACGACCGCTGTCCAGGGACCCAGGAAGGCACTCAGCAGAGCAGGGTGAGATCCTTATATGCTCCATGCCAGCACGGCCCTCAGGGAGCCATCCTGGGAGGGGTGGTGGAGGAGAGCCACACGTCTTCCCTGGATGGGGGGTTGGGGGGGTGGGTACCCATGTGCTGGGTAATCACCAGGAGAGGAGAAATCTTTGTCAACCCTCAGTCTCTTCCCAGGCAGAGGGTGAAGGTCGGGGCCTAGGAATCATCCAGACACTGGGATTCAAATCCTTGCTGTGTGATTTTATCAAAAGGCTTAACCTCTCTGAGCCTCACTTTTCTCTTCTGTAAAATGGGAGACAACGGCACCGCTGTTCTCAGCCATCAAAATAACACATACAAAGCCCTGACACGCAGTAGGTGCATAACACAAAACGATGGTTACCAAGGTCCTTTGGGGTCTTGGAGTGTCTCAGCCTCAGAGGCAAAAGGAGGGGAAGAGCACAGGATGCCAATGTGGAAGAGGATGGATGGGGTCTAGGGTGGAGGGAAAGGCAAGTGAGGAATGAATTTCCTCCAGCTCTGAATTTTTTTTTTTAATTGCTCTTTGGGGAGATGGAAACTCAGAGAGGTTAGGTGTCCAGCCCAAGGACACACAGCCTGTCAGTGCTGGATTTAAATTTCTTTTCACCTCTGTGCAGGGATTAAGGGAGTCGTTTCCAGCATTTAAGTCAAAAGTCCTAGAGGGGTTCTGGATTGATTCCAGGGGACTCCCTGTCCTGAGAGGTGTCCTGTGTACTGTGGAAATGATGGGGCAGTGGGGAGGGATGTCTTCCCATAGTCCAGGTGACCAGCTCTCCCTGGGACAGGAGCAGGAGTCTACACGGCTCCACCAATCCCCAGCATCAGACTCTATGAACCTTGGGGACACAAGCAGTTAAACAGCCTCTGTGGCGACGTGCCTTGGGGACAGGTCAGGGGGACACGCCCCATCAGAGGTGGTGGGATTGTCCTGTACAAACCCGCCCACCATTCAGGTCATTGTGTGGATGCCTCACAATGGTATCCAACCGCAAAGGTTTTCCTGGGGCCAGCCAGTGACTCAGGAATGGGGGACTGGGGCGCCCTCCCCACCTGCTCCAGGAGCTGAAGCCTGGCCTGGGTGGGGGAGGGGCAGGTGGTGGCCCCCCTACCACTGTGGGCTCCCAGGCTCCCTCTTAGGATGGGGAAGCAAGATGCTCCCACCACCACTCTCCTTCAGGCCCTGATGGCCTCCTTTTCCCAGCCAAGCTTTGAAGACAGTCCTTTCCCCCAGGACAAGTAAATGAACAGATATTTAAGTACCTGGCACATCATAGGTGCCCCCTTTTGACAAGCCTCAGGTTATCTTGAACACTGGAAAGCCTTGACCTCCCGCCCAAGGAGGCAGCCAGAGTAAAACAGTCTGGGGGTCGGGGCAACCCTGGAGCCACACGCGGAGGATCTTGGATCTTCTCTCTGTAGCATAGAGAGCCTGGCCCCTCCCCCTAACACCAAGACCCTCCCCTTTCCCTGAGGCCAGTGGGCTTTCCTTGGGAAGCAGGGCTCAAGCTGAGCCCCAATATGACCAGGAGGCCTGCAAGGTCCCCCTTGGGATCTAAGAACATACCTCCCCTAACCCTCACAGACTGCCTTTTTGCCTCTATCCCTCTCCTCAGCATCCCCGTGTCACACAGCCCACATGTGCTCACGTGACACTGAGCTACCCAAACGCACCTGGCAACCTCCTGCCTCCCTGCCTCCTGCCCTTTGCCCACCCACTTCTTCTTGCCAGGAGGGTCTTTTCCTCCTCTTCTGCTAAGTGTGTCTGTAGAAATCCCTGCCAACCCCCATGCCTCTTGCAATTGAGGCAAACTCCTCCCTCTCAGCACCTCTACTATGGCAAAACTCCTGCTCAGCTTTGTACCCCAGCGCCTGGGCACCCGTCTGCCTCGCTCACCAGCCCAGAGCACCTGGAAGCCCGGAGCTGTGACTTGCTCTTTTCCCTCCTAAGAGCTGGGCACAGGTGCTGGCAACAGAGGCATCAATTAAAAAGCCCCAGGAATGAGCGAGTGAGGGAGCCGGTGAATGAACGAATGCCTGGGCATCTCCACACTGATCCTGGCAGATATTTAATTCTTGAAGCAGCCGTTTTGTGAACTTGCCTAAGCCAGTCCAGAAAACGCAGCCTCACCTGCCAGCTGTGATGTAGACCTTTGCCAAAAGGCAAAAGACCTCCCGGCTGCCCCTGTGGGAGCTTGGGAAGCCCGAGGCTGCCGCATCCGCCCCTCTTCTCGAGGAGTCTACCCGACTCTTCCACTGGCCCCAGCCCAGCCCCGCTTACCTGGCCCGCAGGTGAGGAGGAGACTCACAATCAAAGCCAGCAGGTGCCCGCGCTGGTGGTGCCCCGGGTGTGCGGGGCCCTCCCCGTCCATGCTGCTGCACGCCCGCCCGGGCTGTGTTCCTCACCCCCGAACAAGTCCCTGAGACTGAACCCAGCCCAGCCTGGCCCCTGCTCCTGGGAGGGCAGTGAGGACACGCCTTGCTGAGCTTCCCAAGAGGGGCTGGACCTGCTCAAGCGGAGGTGCCACCGCTAGCAAAGGTCAGCAGGCATCATTCAGTGCCCGAGTGGTGACTAACACCTGCAGGCTGATACTCTGTGAGGAGGGGCACGAGGGGGCCCCCGCCCACCAGCAAAGCCTGGCTCCCGCATCTGTTGCCACACTGAGAGACCCCCATGGGTCCGTCTGGGCTTAAGGGAGGACAGAAACCCGGACATAGATCTGTAACATTCTTTGAAGTCCCTCGGGTTCTACCTGACACCTCTCTGCTCAGGGGCTGGCACTACCAGACCAGAGCTGGGCAGACACTCCCTGGGGGAGGTACGGCTGGCTCTGAGGGTTTTGGAATGTGTGGGAGTGGAGGGGATAATACATTCCCGTGTAGGAACTCCCTGGCTGCCGGGGAAGCTCAGGGCCAGGCTTGTCATAACTTTGGGGAGCCCCTAAGAGCCACTCTTCGCCACCCCTAACCCCTCTCTAGGCCCCCCATGGCCCCCACAGGGGCTGCAGTCCCTCACTCCCCAGCCAAACCCATCAGTTGCCCCTGCCAGGAGCAGAGAGAAGCATGGGGGGTTGGTAGCGGGTCAGGAAGTGGATTTGGAATTCTGCCTCCTCTTTGACAAGTCCGCAGCCCCTACATGTTTCTTATCATCCCAGTCTTGGGCTGTTCCAACAGCCGCCCCAGAAACTGCCTCTCCTCCGCCGTCTGCCCAGCACAGATCGGGGCGATCTTCCTTGGGTACCATGTTCCTCAGTGCCCCCCACACTCCTCCCTCATCCGAGCACTCAGGAGACCCTCAGCCATCCTTCCCTCTGGCCCCACCTCTCATGCCTCTGACAGCCCAACAGGTAGGTTTATCTTCTCATCCAGGGGAAGGCACACGCAGGTGCTCGCTGCCAAGGTGGCAGTCAGTGGACACCCTGTGGGGCCTCACATCTCTCCTGCCTCTTGTACCCAGAGCCAAACTCCATGATCTGTGGCCAGGGCAAGCTTATCAGAACCCACAGTTCCTTCCATGTCTTAGGTAACTTCCTGCTAACATACTCTCTCCTCTCTGCTTGCCCTGCTCTCATTCATTCATTCTCAGGACAGATTCACACCCTGAGCCCCAACTCTGTTCTGGGCACGCAGCCTGGCCCAGATGGACAGATGAGCAAGTGCAGGGGATTGAGCTGGGGTAGCAGAAGTGCAGACGTAAGTGGGAGATGCCAGACTCAGACTGGGAAAGGGCAGGGAATCCGGGAAGGCTTCCTGGAGGAGGTGCCCCAGACACCAAGACCTGAAGGATAAGCTGGAGTCAGCTGGTCCGGGGGAAGTGGGAGAGAAGGAAGTGTTCCAGAGGAAAGACAGCAGGAAAGGGGAAGTGGAGGCTGGGCTTTGTCCAAACCCCTCCCTTGCTTCTCTGCCCAGGCCCCCCCTCACTGCCTTAAGAAAACAATCACAGAGAAACAGAGACCAAGCCATGGGTCCTGTGTAAGATCACTGTGCTCAACTCCCCCCGCCTCACAGAGGGGAAAATAGGGCCCCCCAAAAGCATCAGGACCTGCAAGATCAGTGACAGAGCTGAGACCAGACCCCAGACCCCTGGACTCCCCAAACTCTTCCCATGTAAGTGATTGAATTCTTCTTTCCCGAGGCAGCAAGAGCAAGCACCCCCGATCACCATCAGTCTGTGAGGCCTGAGGATCCAGGAGCTGCCCCACTCTTATGAGGGGTGCACAGGGCTTGACTGGTTTAGGTTCATGACAGGTAAACTCAGCTACTCACAGCTACTCACCGAACACCACAGATCTATGTCCAGGTCCCCTTACTGACCACCTACTATGCACTGGGCGTGGCTTCTAGTCGTCACTACTATGCTGAATCTAGGTTCTACCCTCTCAGCAACTCTATAAGGTGGTTGCTAGCCATTGCCCCCAATGCATGGATGAGAATGCCAAGGCCCAGGGATTTGCCCAAAGCCACTCAGCTAGCACACAGCAGAGCTAGGATTTGAACTCAGCTTTGATCTAGCAGGGTGTTTCTCACCCAGGGTGATTTTTTTCCCCCGGAGGACATTTGGCAATGTATGGAGTCATTTTGGGTTGTCATGGCGGGAAGGGAGGCTGTCACTGGCATCTAGTGGGTAGAAGACAGGGATGTTGGTGCTCCCTTTGACAATGAATATCCGGCCCTGAATGTCCACTAATGAGGAACCCCGGTCCAAAGCCGGGCTGTTGTCCAGTGGAACTTTCTATGATAATATCCATGTTCTGTATTTGTGCCATCCAATAGGACCACCACGAGCCCCTTGTGGCTACTGAGCACTTGAAATGCAGCTGGTGTGACTGAGGAACTGAATTTTAAATTTTGTTTAGCCTTAATTTAAAACAAAAACTATCATCAGTTCAGTTATTGGCAACCTTGTGAGTAGGCTTGGAACAGCTTGGGCTTGTGAATGTACTTTTTCAACTGGAATTTGATGCCATCTAAACACAGACTGAGTAGTTCAGATTAAAAACCTAGTGTCCGAATTGAGATGCTCTATAAAGTTTAAAATGCACACCAGATTTAAAAGACATAGTATGAGAAAAAGAATGTAAAACGTCTCCTTGGTCGTTTTCACACAGGTTACTTATTGAAATGATAAATATTTGGGTCTATTGGGTTAAACAAAATATATGATTAAAATTCACTGCACCAGTGTCTTTTTACTCTTTTAACATGACTACTGGAAAATCTGCAATTGCATATATGACTTGGGTTCCCTTTCTATCGGATAATGCTGGTCTGGGATCCGAGTGCCCCCACTATAAATAATTTTGATTAAGACAACAATAATATTATTATTTAATTATTTAATCTTAACTATAAATACCTTTACCTCTCTTTGTTCTGTCTCTCCTAGCTTGGCGCTTCCTGCACTAAAGACAGAGATGGAGTGGTATCCGTAGTCCCCTCTCTGCCTCTGAAGGTGTTTAGCTATGTCAGCAGGACCACTTGGAAACTAGGGATGATGGAGACACATCTCTGGGTGCTCCCCCCTCAGAGATCTGCCTGCCCTTCTGTGGGTGCATGGAGGGAACCGCAGTATTGGAGGAGAGCAAAGCTCTGGCTCCTGCTGTACCCAGGCTGACCAGAGCCTGAGCCAGCCTTGCCTGTCAAATGGCATTGCTGGGGGCAAAGGGGAAAGGTCAGGGCTGTCCTGGGTTGGGTGAGAAAGACAGACAGAGGGCTGAGGACACTGCCTGGGTGGAAAGAGGGAGGGAAGCTAGCAGCAGAGATGGAGGAGGCACGGTCAGAGCAGTGGGAGGAGGAACCTATCGTGTCATTACTGAACAGCGGGAGGAGTGGGTTCCGAGGACAAGGGAGAGTCCCCCAAGCAAATGTCACAAAAAAGGTGGAGGTAGACGAAACTCAAGAGAAGATCTCAGTGATTTTTGAGAAAGGAGTTTCCATGCAGGAGAAGGGGCGAGGCTAGACTGTCAGGCTTAGAAGTCCAGATGGAATGAGACTGGTGCTGAAGGTAGCCTGGGTTCAAATCCCCATCACCCCACAATAGAGGTAATGACAACAATAATAATAATGTTTACTGAACACCTACTGTGTGCTGAGCATCAGGGAAACAAGAAGAATGGTGCCAGGGGCTAAGGGTGTTGACATTAAATCACAGCATTAACAAGTGGCATTTACTTAATGTTTTCTCTGAATTCCACCTTTCACAGACCTTAATAGCTCATTTGGTTCTCGTGGTATCTCTATGAAGTGGTGCACTCATCAACCCCTTTCACAGAGGAAGAGACTGAGGCATAAAGATGTTACATAACTCACAGAAGACCACACGGCGAGGCACCATATGTTTCCATTTATAATACGTTCAAGAACAGGCAAGGCTAATGGATGGAGATGGAAGTCAGAATAATGTTCTGGGTACAGGGACATTGTCTGGAAAAAGGGCATGAGGGAAACTTCTAGAGCAGCGATTCTCAATTGGGAGCAATTACGCGCCTCCTCCCTCCCCCCCCTCCCCCAGAGACATTTGACAATGTCTGGAGATATTTTTGGCTATGGAAACTGAGAAGTGTTCTCAAAGAAGACATACAAATGGCCAACAGGTACATGAAAATGTGCTCAATATCACTATTAGGGAAATGCAAATCAAAACTACAATGAGATATCACCTCACACCTGTTACAATGGCTATTATCAAAAAGACGAGCGATAACAAGTGTTGGTGAGGATGTGGAGAAAAGGGAACACTTGTGCACTACTGGGGAGAACGTACATTGGTCTAGCCACTATGGAAAGCACTGTGCAGTTTCCTCAGGAAATTAAAAATAGAAATATCATATCATCCAGCAATTCCACTTCTGGGCATTTATGCAAAGGAAACAAAAAAACTAACTGAAAAAGATATACGCACTCCTGTGTTCATTGCAGTGTTATTTACAACAGCCAAGATATGGAAACGACCTAAGTGTCCATCAATGCAGATGAATGAATAAAGAAAATATGTATATACAATGGAATATTATTCAGCCATAAAAGGAAGGAAATCTTGCCATTTGTGACAATGTGGATGGACTTTGAGGGCATTATGCTAAGTGAGATGTCAAAGAAAAACAAATACAGTATGATCTCATTTATATGTGGAATCTAAAAAGAACATATTAATACAGAAAAACAAATTGGTGGTTGCCAGAGGCAGGGGGTAGGGTTGGGGGAAATGGGTGAAGATGGTCAAAAGGTAAAAACTTTCAGAAAAAAAAAACGAGCTGGCCACGTGGTGTAGTGGTTGAATTCATGAGTTCTGCTTTGGTGGCCCAAGGTTCTCTGGTTCAGATCCCAGACACAGACCTACATACCCCTCGTCAAGCCATGCCGTGGCGGTGTC